AATATTTTTTCCAAAAATCTCAGAATTTTCTTGTTAATAGTGTGTGTTTGTAACAAAAAAAATTTGAATTAAAATATTTCATTTTTTATATGAGGAAAAATTGTTGAAAACAAGCTGTTTTTCCCAGAGGAAACCCATGATACCCCTTAAGGTTAGGTCACCATCTTGTCAGGTTGTCAAAATTTAATGTGAGAATAAAAAATAATGATGATTAAACAGCAATTGGCGCTTACCTCTGTTATTAGTAAAGTTAATGTTTACATTTTTTTGCCTAGTAGTTGTGGTAGTTTATGGATTCAGCAAACTGATTCGAATAAAACATGAATAACAGACCAGCCTCAACATGACAGCAATTGCCGACAAGTGAAAATTATAATCTAATCGTTTGAAAATATCTTGACCTTTGAAAATAATTCACTATTTTGGAGGTTATAAGATTTATATGGCTTAACGTTTTTTTTATCAGGGCCAAATGTGCAAGCACTTCAAATCTTAACAATCGCAGATTTAGCACACTAAAGTTATATAGATTAGATAAATGGTTCGCAAATAAGTCAACTGTTCAATCTACATGATAACCTAACCCGGTAAAACGCTTTTTCAAAAAAATATCAATAACTTGTGAACAAGTATTATATAATATTTGGATTAATTTGACATATAAAAAGTAAGTATAAAAAGGAAGGTAGGAGTTTCCGTATGAACCGTATTCTACAGATCTGAATCTCAGCGTCTATTTTCTGTTCTCAGATCTTAAAAAATTGTAGCTGGAAAGACATTTTCGACGAATGAAGAAGTGATCGCCGAAACTGAGGTCTATTTTGAGACAAAGAGGTCAAATCGTGCTACAAAAATGATGTCGTAAAGTTGGAGGGTCGCTATAAAAACTGTATCACCCTTGAGGAGAACTATGCTTAATAAACAAAAAAAAAAAAAAAAACAAATTATGTCAAAAAAAAATGTGTTCAACTATGGTAGGCCGCGGACATTTCAATTTGAGCTGTTATAGAATGTTAGGCAAATTAACTAACTCAAATCATCATCGATATTTCTATCTTATATCTTGCTATAATTTTAACAATGTGGATAGGCTCATAACTATTTATTGTTATTATCAAGTTCGGTAAGTATCTAATTTTATAATTATATGAATTTTATAATTTTTTCTTCGCAAACTCAGTAGAGCAATGCCATTTTAGTCTTTTTTATTACAATAATTGGCTGATATAAAAACTTAAGTAGGTTATTATTCAAAATATGAACTCTAAAACTATAACATTTTTATCATTAAATAATTATTAGAATTCTTTTAAATATATAAATAACATTATATGAAATTAAAAATAAAAAAAATTTCCTGATGAATTATGAATTCATCAATTTGTGTGTTGCATTGATATAAAGCATTTAATTTAAAAATTCTAAAAAAAAAATATGTTTAATTGTCGTTCTTTCCTAAAATCATTACGATTATAAACATATTGCAGTAGTTCATTAATTTCTTAAATTTGTTTGAAAGTATTTTTTTTTTAAACATATGACAACCTTCCTTTAAAATATATTTCACCGTAATTCTCTTAATCTCTTCAGTTTATTGTTACTCTTTATTTTATATATATTTTTTTAATAACTTTTAATTTAAATTTTTAATTTAAAATTCCAAACTTTCCAACGATTTTCCATTAGATTAATTCACCGTATAACCAAAATATTACCTTCAAAATACAAATTAAAAGGAAAGGAGCAATTACTTCAAATTTATATTATTTTTGAACAACTAAAATGAGAATGAATTACTGAAAATGTTTATTTTTTCAACAAATCGCAATCAATTGC